CACGCACACACACACACACACACACACACACACACACACACATTCGGTTAGACCAGCTTGTTACATTGGTGGGCTATAAACTGTCACCTAATCGTTTCTAGATGTCACTTCGTGGCATATCTTTCATATTCAATTACAATATGATATTAACAATAAGAGTAGATTTGATTATTTTTATCACTGAAATTTAGTATCAAAGGCGCTTGCATTTTTTGAAATAATGTAAAGCGAACCTCATTATCATAGGGCCATAATTATTAACTGTACTAGTATTGACTTAATGACTTGCTCACCTGATGGCCATCTGCCTCGTTGTCTAATTCCCAGCCTTCCTTAAGATCCTCGAGTCTCACATTTATCTTTTTGCTGTTGTTGTACATTTTGAAGGGTTTCTCAATTGAAGCGGGCTTCAACGATTTAAAAGACTGCTTGTCTTGGTTCTCCACCCGCTTGTTAAGGCAAGATATGTACATCAGCGAAGTGGTGCACCGAGCATTTTCAAGGGTGACTACATGTAAGAGTGTTATTCTTTGAATTTCTAACAAACCTTTTTTTTTTGTTTTGTTGTGCAAACGCAATACAAACCACATTCACAGAAGTAGACATCTTTTTATCTACAGTGCACTGATATACTCTTTGTACATAAAAATGCTTGTGGGAGACGCGATGACATTAAGGTTCGCACGTTAACCACAGGGATTTTCAGGGAGTTGTATCCGACTAAAAGAAGTAGGATTATTCGTTGTCGCTTTCAGTCCTTGAGAATGGGTCATAATAATGCTCCAGCAGTAGGAGATTTTTCCTCAGTTGTTCGAAGTGTGGGTGACGCTATCCACCGGATGAATCGCTATCCCTTGAATACCCTTAATTTTCTCTTGATCCTTATCCACTGGATAGCGATGTACCCCTGGGATAGTGTTATTCGTCCTTTTAAAAAGCGGCGCCTGAAGTCTACAACGAACCATAACCTTCGAACGCAAGAGTTAATTCCCAATTTCTCTCTTGGTATCAAGGGTAAACGCATAACTATAGTAGGATTAAAATATCAGAAAGATTAAAGGATTAAGAAAAGATGTCAAGATTTAAATACTGTTGAAACTTTTATTCACTGATAATTTGCTCATTTCCCTCCTCCCTCCTTTTTCTGCCATTTTGATTTTTTTGCTCTTTCCATCTCCTTTTTACTTTTATGCTGTTTATAACCCTAACTACCTCTGAAAAGAGGATGCTGTTATTGTTACTTGTCAATGGTGTTCTACTTGTCTCGCGTATGTTGTATTTTAGAAATTTCATAAGAATTGTTTTCTTTAAACAACCACTTACCTTCCTGGATTCCTCGTTATCATCGTAAATATAGAATCTCAAATAAATGAGATCGGATCCGGGATACAGCCTGTTAGCAAACACTCTAGCTCTTTTTTTTCTCTGTCCTCCACGGCTGAATATGCTCCAGAAACAGAATGTCATGGTTTTAATATGAATGGAGTCCTCTTTTGCCGTGAACCACGCCTTTGACAGATCATTTTTCTCTAATTCGTTAGGGATTTTCTCCCACTTGATAGGACCTTAATACAGAATTCAATGATAAAATCATTAACAGCATAATCAACATCAGTCCTACAGACTCGAAAGGGAAGAGGGTAAAAAATGCGTTGATAAAACGAATGTGTCATGGTTTTAAAAAGAATGTAATCCTTTTTTACTGTAAACCAGACCCTTGGGAGATTCGTTGAGGATTTCCTCCCACTTGATGGGATCATGAATCAGGAATTTATGACAGAATCATTATTTCAGTAACAGTATTGTGAACACTAGTCCTAGGATAAGGGTTAAGTTAGGTCGAGTTGAAATTGTTGTTTTTGTTTTTTTTTGCGAAAGAAGGAAAACCAAATGCACGGATAAGACATCTAGGAGCTCGGGGGGAGAAGCATTGCAAAACTTCAAGTCATCCAGCCCTTAACCATAAATGTATTTTTTAAAATGTATGATGTTTTGGATTCAGCTGAAATTACCTGGGTCAGTTCTGTAGACACTGATCAATTTTTTCTTGGCTTTACCCATAAAGAGGCAATGTGGAATTATAATCTCCAAAGGATTCGAGATCCTGATATCATGCGGTCCGCATTCAATCACAGGGGAAATGAGCGTTTCTTTGGATCCTACAGGAATATCTCGGAGCAACTCCGTTTCATCGTCGACCACACGGAAGAAGACCAACTGGTTGTCTCCAATTGCACCTTTTCTGATAACTATCTTCACGTCAGAGTCAGGAGCGGCACTTAGTTCACCGCCGGAACTGCTGAAATATCCTTCAACTTGTGTGATATATTCTCATAAAGGCACTGTAGGAAAGCTGTTGGGTAAACAGTCGCCTCCTTTGCGGTCACTAAGACGTGTTTGATCGTATGAGAGTTGTGCCTCAGATTTCTCCTTAAAAGAACAAGTCATAGCTAAACGGTAGTTCTGAGTCAAACAAATATCTTACCAAAAATTATGAGACAGTTCAAAATGCCATATTAAAAAAAAAAACAAAACAAAAACGCAACATCGGTTGGTTTAACTTAATTGCACCTTCATTGAATCCAAAGAAAAGCTTGGTCACTTTTCAATGAATTGTGGTCGGTTTTAAACTAGTCAAATCAAAATTCCTGCCTTTTAGAAACATCCTTAATATTAGTTCAAGTGAGAGTTCTTAAGAAAAACCATTGTTTTTCCATTCGCTTAACTTTTATTTTTAAGATAGCTTTTCATGTACGCTTCAGAAATAGATGATAACAGTTGATATGGCGACAGCCATTCAGTGACCTAACATGGGGATTGGCAAGATCGTTTAGGAGTTGCTGGCATAATATAGCGATACGCCTTTTTAGGGCACGTCCATACCTCTATAGGGGATACGCCTAAAATTTACGCTAGGACTCACATTTTTGGCCCAGATAAAATTTGGCAAGAACGGCGCGGGACTACTGTGAAGAAATTTCACAGTGGAAGGTTAGATTTAAGGTCTTGATTACAGAGCAACACCTAGGGTATTTATTCACTCTTGCCCATTCACAAATACTTGGATATTGTCAGTACCAAAGGAAATATATAAAGAAGGGTATGGAGAATATGGAAACTGATGTTAGTGAGTAAAGGATAAAAGACTTACCTGATAACAATCTTCGATCGCCATGTATGACATCTCCTTGTCAAAGCTTCAGCCGAATGCAAAATTCATTAAGAATTTGATCAAGCTAACATAGCGTGGATAGTATATTAAGCATTGATGAATGCGGTACTTTTATAGAATATGCAAGAAGCATAAGAGTTTTTCAAGCTTCTTATTTCTAATTTCCAAGGTTATTATAGGCAATTTTTTGGCCTTGAAGCTACATACGCATGTCTGTATATATATTGTGATGGCTAAATGGCAGAAAAAAAGGACCAGCATATAACCAATGTTGTAAACCTACTACATGTTATATTGATAACCTGCATATCAAGCAAAGGCATTTAGTACTCGGCGACATTAATACTAACTAAGTACTTCCCGTCGAAATCAATATTGTCTTTTAGAAATTGTTAACTGAAAGGTTGAAACAAAAATAACTAAAATTATCTGGCCCTTTTGCCAGATTTAAGACAATGGACTAATTAATTCTTGTTCCTTCTTGTTTCTTGATTTTTATCTTAAAGTACACCTAAACCCAAAATTTTTTTTTCGCTTAACGAAATAAGCGTATTTTTTGGAGTATTTCTGGGCAAATTTTTTTTATTTGCTCAAATCTTCAATTTTCTGTACCCAGTCAAAATACGGAAAATCGGCCGCCATCTTGCCCCACGACCGAGTTTAAAGAGGTATGGCTCTAGCGGTAATGTGACGTCAAATCGAGAACACGAAAGAATAAAGGCTGATATTTTCGAAAGAAACTGTTTGGGGCTGCGTCGGTGGGAGTAACGAACTAATTTGAAAAGGTAAATTG